AGGATGGCTGAGACACAGAGCAAAGAGAAGAGAAATAGGTGGACTCTACAAAACACAACAGCTCTGGTCACTGGTGGAACAAAAGGAATAGGGTTCTTCTCTCTTCCATCTCTCCTTGTTTTCTTCTACTCGTGAATTCATTTTTGCCAACTCATCTTTGGATTATTAATTGAGACCCTAGCTATATATATATATAGTGGTTGGTGCACAATGGTCTTTATATAGCATTCACAATCAGTATTGTATTCCTAACAAATATGGGATTTGGGCGTCCCAAGTACTACTGTGTATTTTATATTACACCTCTTTTACTGTAATATCTGATCAACGTGCACCACTAAATAATTGTGATCGATTTAACAGAGTATCAAAAGTAATATTTGAGGAATCGTGTCTTCCACTTTGATTTCATGGTAATATATACATGTATTACAGCCAAGAAGAATGGAAATTGAATCAGCTATATACCAGGTAAATATCCTAGTCATTATTACAATATATACAAATCAAATAAGGGATATTGAATAGCAACAATCTCGCTCAATCAGCAGATCTCGCTCAATGGCAACAATCTCGCTCAATCAGCATTGATTTCCTTGATACGCCCCCTCAAGATGGAGCTCCCATCGGTGACTCCAATCTTGGTTCAGAGTTGAGCAAAACGACGCGATGAAAGTGGTTTGGTGAGGCCATCGGCTAATTGATCAACAGAGGAGATATGGCTCACTTGAAGGACCTTGTGATCAACGAGTTCCCGAACAAAATGGAGATCAATTACTATATGCTTCATCCTGGTATGCATTACTAGATTGCTACTCAGATGGGTAGCTCCAACATTGTCACAGTAAATGGCAGGACATTCAGATACAAGATGGCCAAGTTCATGAAGTAGATGCTTAATCCAAACCAATTCAGAAGAAGCAGCAGCGAGTGCACGGTACTCTGCCTCGGTGGAACTGTGAGCAATAGTTTTCTGCTTGCAGGCTCGCCAAGAAATGGGATTGCTGCCGAGAAACACCACATAGCTAGTTGTAGAATGATAAGTGTCCTTGTCCCCAGCCCAATCTGAATCGGAAAAGGCATGCAAAGGAGAGATCGGCTGCTGACGAAGAAGAAGACCATGAAATAAAGAACCTTTAAGATACCGCAAAATCCGCTTCGCAGCTTGCCAATGAACATCAGATGGAGCATGAAGAAACTGAGATAATTTGTTGATAGCAAAAGAGATATCCGGCCGAGTAAGAGCAAGGTATTGCAAAGAACCAACAAGTTGATGATACGGTTGAGCATCAAAGAGTTGATTTCCTTGATGTAATTGTAATGGGACAGTGGACAATGGGGACTGCACAGGCTTAGCATCACTCATGTCAAACTTGGCCAATAGCTCACGGATGTATTGAGCTTGTGACAGAAAGAGACCAGCAGTGGTAAAGATAGCATTCACACCAAGAAAATAGTTGAGGCAACCTAAATCTTTGATAGAGAAGGTGGCACCCATTAAGGAGATAATTGATTCAACTAGCTTCTCGGTATTGCCCGTAACAATAATATCATCAACATAAATTAAGAAATAAACCCATTCTGACTGATAATGAAAAATAAACAGGGAAAAATCAGACCGTGAGTTCACAAACCCATGCTGAAGTAGAAATGTTTTGAGCTCTTGGTACCAAGTACGAGGAGCCTGTTTGAGACCATAGATGGAC